GGGCCGAGCCCGAGGTGCTGGCTGCTCGCCGCTGGCTCAGTCCAGCTCCCGGCTCGCGGCACGTTCCGGGTGGACCCAGGCGGACACCCACGGCGCACACGAAAACCCACGTGACTTCTGAATCCCATTCGCGTGGCTCAAACGTTTCAAACTCAGAAAATAAAAGACATTTAAGCTTCCAGTCACCATTACAGGCTTTTGATGTCAGGAAGAGATGGGAAAAGTCTCATATGTGGGAGATCATAACATTCTACCATTTGATTATTCTTTTTTTATGAAATTGAGATCCTGGTTTCTGGGCAATTATTTCCCATTTCTTTACAATTACTTTGTGATACTATTACTGTATTCTCATATTGTTTTATATTCTCTTTTCTTTCATTTTCTCTTTTGTTTCTCTTCTAAGTACTTATCTGTGATGACATGAATCTCTTGCTATAAACAATTATCAGAAATGCAGGCTCAACTCTTAGAGTCTGTTTGTTGCAAGGGCAGAGCTGGAAAAACTTTGCAGGTGCTAAAATGTCTACATTTGACTGAACAGTATTTTGGGCTCCTTTGGTTTCAGGGAATCTTGCAGAAGCTAAAGTAGTAGCTTCTATAAAGAATTATAAAATACAAAAAGGCTGAATGTTTAATAACCAGAATTTATCCTTCCACTATTCTGTCTCATCTGAACCATTCATCTTCTTGATATCCTTAAGATACTACTTATATCATTTATAATTACACAAGTAATTTGTTAATGACAATAATTATATAATATATTATGTACAATTAATATAGTATGATTATATTAATCATATCTTTATGCCATGCATTCATTGTAACTTTAAAATATAATACCTTCCTCAATGTCTAAAAAGAGAGTATTTATATACATTTAAAACCACTGGAAGACTGAAAACAATTATTACTAATCTTATATTGTATTAAATAATTATGACACAAAAATGATAGTCAAAATATTTATTATTGATCACTTTCATACACCATTTTAAATCTCTTACCGAGATTTTTGAACTACCAGAAAAGTGAGCTGTCTCATAAAAATATTTAATGTTTTCAAAGAAATACTACATTTTAACATGAACTCCATTAAATTATTACTTTAAAAGATGTACAGTGTTTATATTACACCTCAAAATGAAAACCTAACAGATTAACAACATAAAGTAACCACATGCTAATGTTCTGAACTAATCAGCAATATAGACTGACCACATTTTCTTTAAAGCTTAAACAATAAATGTTCCATTGTGTTAAGACAGACTTGTTGTCGTTAGATCCTACAGGTTTTTTAGGAACAGAGCCGCTCCACACTGGATCCACTGGTCTTGGTTGCCCCCGCAGGGAACATCAATATTGGTCACCACACGCTCCCGCTCGGCACTCGTGCACACAGGCAAGGAGATGCACTCCTCAGGAGAATACGGCCCGTAGGCACCCTGTGAAAAACAGTGTGAAAAAATACAGCGATATACTATTTTGAAGCAGATTATAAGACAGCCAAAGAAACAAACACAAAACCTTCCAAATAATAGTTTTATTTAACATTGTCTTATGAAATAAAATGAATATAATAATATTAACAATAATCAACTTGTGGCCAATCTTGTTTCATTTATAATCTTCCCCAAGCCCAAATACTAGGGTATTTTGATCCATATCCTATAATTAGAAAATTCCATCTATAAATATTTGCATATAACTCTATAAATAAAATATTTATAACCATAATATAATTATTATGCATGAGAAAATTAATGATTCCTTAATATAATCCATTCTCATTCATATATCCATTCTTATTATTCCATAATGTTTCAAAGAGGTTTTTTGTTAGAATCCACGCAATGCCCACATTTTGCAGTGTTGATATGTCTCTTAAGTTTCCGAAATCTGTTTTTCCTTTTTTCTTAGCAATCTGTTTGCTGAAAAAACAATACCAAAGAGTCTCCCACATTCTGAGTTTTGTGGTTACATTCCATGGTATCATGTTCCTCTGTTCTTTGTAGGCTTGTACACTTGATTTAGAGGTGACCTCAGATTCAATTTTGGGAAAAAAACACTGCATAAGTGGTATTGAATATTTCTATTGAGAAGCATATACTGTCTACTATCACTCTTTTTTGAGATAATAGAGGCCACAGATGATCATTTTTCATTTGGGATTAAAAAATGATAATCTCATTCTATCATTCCTTCTTCATTTCCAGGCAGGAATATATCGTAAGTAGAAAACTTCTACTTATCAATTTCTTTATCATCATGAGGTACAAATGATTTAGGAAAGGCTAGATAAATGCTATCTAATTTCTTTTTATTTGTTGTCGAAATAATGAATTTTGTTTCTTAGTATACACAAAGGTGATCAATAATTACCTCTTTTTTTCCCAAGTGAAACTTCTTGTCTTCTTGATCTGTTTTAATCTTATTGACCACTACAGAAAGGTTACTGTGTTCTGTTCTTTAAAATAGCACTACGAATTGGTGGATTTAGACAGATTTAGTGTGCTTCAGTGTAATGCAGTTACTATCTTACTGTCAGTTTTTGCTCAGAGAGAACTTTCCAAGTTGGTTGCTGAGCTTTGATGCCTTGGTTCTTTTTTGGGTGCTAGGGATAATCGATCATTCTCATTCTAGGATTTTTTAGTGACTGGAACTTAGAAATAACGTATTTTTTAAAGAAAAACATCATGAGCTAATAATGACATTTCCAATTCAAATTTTAGATTAATGTTCCAACTGAATTTGTGATTTTATTCAATTTATTAATTGTTGTTATTCTTTAGAGTTGGAATGGAATTTAAGAGAAAAACTAGATGTATTTTAGAAGATTATAAGTGAGAAATCAGAAACCCATAGAGACTCTACCCAGGGTAACTTAGATAAGAAGTGGCAAAATTGCCACAGGTAGTACAGTTTAAAGAACATTTTGGCACTTGAATATGATCACCCAAAGCCTCTGTCATTCTGTTCCTTTTTGAAATAGAAGACAACGGCATTCATGGAAATCAGCCATTTTCAGGCCCTGGAATACTTTCTAGAAGCTCCTGACTCTGTGTAGGCTGCTGAGTATCAGTTTCCCTGTCACAAAAGGACAAACGGCACGTGCCCACCTCATGAGAGGGCAAAAGAGTCACAAGATGTGTTAACCCTCTGTACTCGGACACATATCACAGATCACCTCTACTTGCAACTGCACTGCACTGTTTTCATGAAATAGTAAAAAAGAATTGCTTTGTATTAAGTAGCACAGCACTGGAACCAATCATTTTATTGTCACAATATATGACTTATAATAGAATTTTGGACATGGAGGAACTTATCTATGACAAAAAATCAAAATTTTTTATCTTATATTTTTCCAACATGTGGTAATATGAAAGTCGCTGTCATACATTGCAGGTTCACTGATACGTGTCGTGCAAAAGCAATTTGCTGGACGCCTTCCACCTGGTGTTTCAGCACACAATGCAGTCTTGTTTTCTTCCTCTCACATTAACAATATGTAACTTATTGTCCAGTCTATTGTTCGAAGAAGGTGTGGAGGGACGTACTTGTGATTCCTGAAAACCACTTCTCAACTGATCAATTAACTATATCTCAGGATTTATTCCATCTCTTTATTTGTTTTGTGTAATTTGAATGGGAAACATACATTTTGAAAAGTTTGCACTTGTAGAATTTTGTCCTGTATAATCACCAGCAGTCTCTTTATGTCCCCTGAGAGAGGACATCTGAGTGGTTTGCTAGATTTATGATGTCCTCTCAGAGGGGACATCTAAGTGTAAAATTAAAGAACTCAAATATAAGTATTATTTATCCACATATCTCTAATCCTTTGGACTGCCTTTTCTTTACTAATATTCACATCAATTAGGAAAAAAATCAGTTTTTGAGCACCTACTATATATCTTAGATGAGGCGATGACAGAAGAAAATATTTTTCCTTCACAGAATATTAAGGCAAACATTCTACCTATAAGCCTAAGTGAGCATTACATGAAATTTCTATTATGCTTTCCAGTCCTGTCCCCCCCCCACATAAACAAAACTACTGTTTTGACACTTCTGATTCTTGACATAAATCTGTAGGCCCCTTTGAAAAATCATTCATTCCTAACATTCCTAAATCTTAACCTGATTTACATATAACAAAATGCATTATTTATGTAGAATCAGTCCCCAAGTAGAAATACCATCTGTCTTGAGTCTTTCTAATGATCTGTTTGTCAGTTTATGCAGAGTCCAACTTATTCTACACCATGCTTTCTGAATGTTTATGAATCAGGTCAATGACCTGTTCTTTTTTAGAACAGGAGACATTAGGAAATCAGAGCTTCAATGTATGCATGCATAAGTAGCACAATTTAGTAACGCAAATCTGGAAAAATGAATCTCGCGAAACAGGAGAGAAAACTACTTGCCACCAATGAATACCTTGAAAGACTGCTCTGTCAAGAATCTCTAGTCATTTTAAAAACATATTTCAGTAGCAAGATGCTTCCTTCCTATTCTTACCGGCATTCTACTAGCCATAAGGTGGTCTCCACTCCTCGGCACGCTGCCAGCTTCTCAGACTGACCCTTTCTTTCCTTTCTGACCACATCTTCCCACTCTTCTACGTGAACCAGGCACTCCTGATGACTCTACTTGCAGCTTCCAGAATAACCTGAGTTCTCTCCTACCTCCACACGTTTACATGTGCTCCCCCTTCTATCTGGAATGCTTCAGCCCCTACCTTTTTAGAAGGCGTCTTTCAAGAGAAGCTGCCACCTCTCCCTGTGAGGTCATCCGTTCACACATGGTCGAGTTGAGGCCGCCCTCATCTGCCACGGCGCTTTACAGAAACCTCTATGATTACACTTATAATTCTGAATGGTAAGTTTCTTTCTTTATTTGCGTCTCCAAGTAACTGAAGACTCTATGGGAGAAATCTGTGTTTCTCTATAATCCCAGGGTTCAGCATTGAACATCTGATCTATAAAAACCCAACAAAGGCTGACTAAAGAGGGAAAGCGTTGGTACACTACAAAGACATTAGGAGATACAATAAGTATCATACTAACACATTTTAGAGTGTTGACAAGAGGATGAGAGAGACTGGCCACGTGTGAAGCACTGTGCTAGTCACTTTACACACACTGGAACAAGAGTTAACCCTCCACAGGGCCCTGCAGAAGCATCACAATCTCCTTTTCCAGGTGGGGAATCTGGCTCAGGAGTTTAGTAATTTTCCTAGGTCCCCTAAGGTCACCCAAGCTTGGGAGCTGGGGCTGGGATGAGCACCAGCGGCACGCCAAGGTCTTGTGTTCTGAAACACTCTGCAGTCAAGTCTCACACTCTTTTCTCCTTAGCTGATATGGAGTGGCATTCTGGAAGGCAGGAGGAGGTTCACTGCAAGAGGAGGAGGAAAGAGGGAGGCGGAGGAAAGAGGGAGCACCGAGAGATCTTCCGTTTCACATCATATAGACGTGCAAATGCCCGGAGAAAATACCTCCATAAAAAAGTAAAAAATGCACAGGACCCTTTAGTCCTCTTTTATAGGATAAATACCCGATTTATTTTACCTCTCTTTACATGAGCTATCTTTCAAGTTAAATATTTTTTAGCTTTTCATTTTAATCCTGACTTATTAAAAGTATGACAAATAAAACTGGGTAGAAATGATACATGAAGTAAAATATCGCGAAGGTCTAAAGTTCTAGTCTTGCAAAGTCACAGTGCTTTTCACACAACCCAGTAGCAGCCGGCTTTGTCCACACAGCATCGCGTGCTCAGCTACATAGGTTTTTGCTTCAGGCCATTTTATTCTAATTTATTCCCAATCAGTTACTCTCCATGTTCTATTTTTGTTGCTGGGGTTTCTTAAGTGAACCAGTTTGTACTTGCCCTACTTTTTCCCCTCTCATCAAGGTCATTATATAGATTTTATTTTCCAGAAAATTAGCAGAATTTATCTCTTTATCCTAAACAAATTTCTATGTGATATTTACAACACTTGGCAAATACCAACTTTAACTTTTGTATAAAATATTCAGTTTGGTTTACACACCTAAGGTCAAAATATGTGTAAATCCATAATTTACCAACTTTTTGGTAGAAGTTGATTTTAGGAATTAATAGCAAGACTGAAGTAAAACAGAGATTCTTCAACCTCTTCTCTCTTTTTCATCTGATAGTTACTCTAATTTTGGAGAAAATAAGCTGATATGGAAGAAAAATAGGGAATTTCACAGAAATGGATGCTCTTTTGAGTCAGAGGATACTTTTGTAGCTGTCTTGGCGATAACTGCCAATTACGCTATGGCTTTATTAGTTTTTTTCTTAAATATTCTAATGCTTTTGATTTTCATTTTATAAAGAGAATTACAATAACTGAAAAAATTAAATGCACAGTTTTCCAGTAAGAAAGCTTATTTTCTTGTAGTGAGTAATACATGAAAAAGTTTGTTGCATATTAGATGCAGGATCAAAACTTTAAAGTTTATTCATGCTTGCATTCTTAAACTTCACTAAGAAAAAGTTATGTGCTTCATTTACAATTCTGTCCTATTTAAAAGGCATGTATGTCCCAAGCCTGACTGTTGAAAGTTTTTTCAATAACTGAAGGTTTTAAAAGGGAAAAATTAACCAAATTAGCCTTTGTCAAGATTCTTTTTTCATTCACTCATGCTTAGCAGCATGACATGGCATGATATAAAGCTAGACGTGTAGGAACACCTTGATTCTGTCACCTCCTGTGTGCCTAACTGAGAGAGGTCCTCAGGCCTGTGTAAGCACAGCTCCTTGTTTTAAAATGGGAATGACAACATCTGCCTCGCACAGTTGTTTGAGGAGTCGCTGAGGTGAAGTCCACAAAGTACCTTCAGCACCTTGCTGAAAATAAGAGGAATGCAGTACAGGGGAGCTCGTATCGTCTTTAAAGGCTTTTTTCCTACTAGGCTATAAACCCTCTAGAAATTAAGACTATGCTATTCTTTCTATAACAAAATGAAGGTTTTTAAAATGCCTGTACATCTTAAAAATTAGAGGATAAAATATTTTGACCGCAAATTTGCTCAAATGCAGGTAAGATTAGAAAGCAAACACAAAATACATGCACCAAGAACATCTTATTGAAAAAGATAAAAATATCATCTTAAAAAGGATTAAAATCTAAAACCGAATGGAAGAAATTACAACTTGTGCCTATTAAAAAATGTGTTACCTGAGGAATCCAGCCCATAAAACAGGGTGGAACTGATGACACGCTAGGAGAATCAAGCTGATTTTCAGAAAGTCGGTTCCCATCAAAACTGCATCCTTCCAGTAGTAAGCCACTGATCTGCCATGGAAACATATGTCATTAAAATATGTATTAAAATCTGAAATGTCAGGGGTCACTGTATTGTATCTTAAGAACAAAGGCAAGCCTTCCCATTGAGCCTATGTATTCCAAATACTTCGAAAACAAAGATGATGGTATTTTTTTTTCTCTTCAATTTTTTTATTTGTAATATGAGTAATAATTTAAAATTTGGCAAAAACAGAAGAGTTCAGGCTTTTGGGTATTCTCAGATTTTAATGTATTGAAAAACAATTTTATTATTAATATTCTCTTATGATATTACCTTAGAAGCAATTTTGTAGGCTTAACTACTAATAAAATAGTGCCTGTGAAGCAAATGGGTTTTCATGCATTTTAACATAAAATTTGCATTCATTGAAACAACAACTCAATATTTTAACCAAAAGTCCTCAAATTTATAGATCGTTCTCATTTGTGACTTCCAACTTTTTTCCAAGACGACAACGAAAATTTATCCGTGTATATTTTTTCTGCTGCTCCAGAAAGTTAGCTCTCAATATCTTAACCCTGATTTTTTTTTTTAATCAATATTTTTTATTATGATTTTGTGGGGTACAGATGATGGTATTTTATTTGAGAGTAAAGTTGGTTAGACCTGGACCAGTGTTCCTAAATTCCTTTAGAGTGAATTCTCACTTTTAGCAAATATCTTACAAATGTGCTCCCAGCTTGGAATTCTCATATCTTTTAAAGAATAGTACAAAGTTCAGAAAGTTTAAAGAAAAAAATTCTTGACATGCAATACTGATCTGAAAGAAGAATAAAAAAGTCAATATCTTTCTCTAAGATAATCTTAGTACAAATTTAAGAAGCTTTGAAAGCAAAAATGTAGTTTTCTAGCTAATATTTTCATGTTTCTTCTTTGAAAGTGTTCATTCTTTTAGCTTCTTTTTTTCAATGGCTTTAGGGGTACAAATGGTTATTGGTTACACAGACGCACTGTGCAGTGGTGAAGTCTGAACCTTGCGTGTACCCAGCACCCCCACCTGTGCACACTGTACCTGACAGGTGATTTTTTATCCCTCCCCCATTCCCATTCTCCCCCTCCCAGTTCTCTGATGACCATTATACCATTCTCTATGTCTTTGTGGACCCTTAGCATAGCTCCCACTCACAAGTGAGAACAAGTGGTCTCTGGTTTTCCATTCCTGCATTACTTCACTTGGGATAGTGGCCTCCAATTGCATCCAAGTTGCTGCCAAAGACATACTTTTATTCTTCCTTATGGCTGAATAGTACTTATATATATTGTACACATCACATTTTCATTGTCCACTGATCAGCTGATGGTTATTTAGGCTGATTCCACTTCTGTGCAATTGTGAACTGTGATGCTATAAACATGCATGCAATTGCCTTTGTTTATATAATGACCTCTTATCCTTTGGGTCGACACCCAATACTGGGATCGCTAGATCAAATGCAGATCTCCTTTTAGTTCTTGGAGAAACCTCCATGCTGTTTTTCAGAGAGGTTATACTAATTTACATTCCCACAAACAGTGCATAAGTGTTCCCTTTTCACTGCATACATGCCAATATCTATTTTCTGATTTTTTCATAATGGCCATTCTGACTGGTTGTAAGGGGGTATTCTCATGGTGTCACAGTGCCACCTGGGAAGTCCTTTTGTCATGCTCAACAGAATCTAATTAGACCTCTTGAACTAACTTCCATTTACCAGAAATGAGGAACAGAGGAGCAAAAGTTAAGTAATGTAATAAGGAAGCAGACAGATGAATACAGAACATACATCGTTCTATAGAACAAGTAACACAATTTCTGTAATAACCACTGGTAAAAAATAAAAAGAGAATCTGATCTAGATGTAAAAAGACTTAAGGCATCTAATAACCAAATACAATGTGGGCATTTTTTTTTTTTTTTTTTTTTGAGTTAGAGTCTCACTCTGTCGCCCAGGCTGGAGCGCAGTGGCATGCTCCTGGTCATTGCAGCCTGGACCTGCTGGGCTCAGGGGATTCTTCTGCCTCAGCTTTCCAAGTAGCCGGAACTACAGGCGAGCGTTACCATGCCCGGTTAATATTGAGATTTATTATAGAGACAAGGTCTCACCATGTTGCCTAGGCTGGTCTCAAACCTGTGAGCTCAGGCATTCCTCTCACCTCGGCCTCCCAAAGTGCTGGGAGTACAGGCTTGAGCCACCACTCTGCGGCCGGGCATCTTATTTAGACTCCAATTCAAACAACCCATCAGGGAGTTCTTTTTGAGACAAAGTGGTAAATATTGTTATGGGCTGAATAGTAAATGATTTCAATAGTTGGCAATTTTGATATTTGTGATAATACATTGTATTTAAGAAAATATTGACTTTTTTTAGAAATGCATTTAGAACTACAGAAGGATAAAATAAAATGATGCCTGAAACTTGCTTTAGTAAACATAATACAGAGAAAAAGAAAAAATGTTTCTAAGTCTTAAAACCTTTGAATATACAGATTCATTTGGCTGCTCTCTGCTGTATTTGTTTAAAATGTTTAATAATAGAAAATATTAAACATGACTGAAACAAATTTTGAAGGATATTTAAACTATCCCTAGGAATGAACATCTCTGTCTGGAGCCTCTGTCCAATATGCTCCCCACTAGCCACAGGTGGCCCCATAGCAAGGGAAGCGTTGCCAGGGCAACCCCCTCCCAGCCTGGGGCTTCCCAGATGGCACAGGCAGGCTGGACGGGCTCTTGCTGTATGTAATTCCTTGGACCAAGTTCTGTAAGTGTGTTTAACAAATCATAAATCCAGAACAGTAGTTAGGAAATTTTAGAAGGACACATTCAAGAACTGGAAATCAATATACACACATGTTCTCTAAGTAGGTCTAGAGGATTTAAGATTGATTGGTTTGGAGAACTATTACCTCACTAGTTGAATTCAATCTACAGTGATAGAGATTTTTCTAAAAACGAAGTTAATTAAATTCTGAAGTGACAGTAAAATTCAAGTATAATTCAAATCCAAAGTTCTCTTATTGAAACAATTTCTTTGTTGAAAAACATACTTAAAAGGAGCCTAAATGGACCACTTAACTTACTGATTTTGCTAATAATAAGGCGCCTACAAAGACTTCTTCCATGAAGAAGGGAAGAAAGGTAGGAAATGTGCTTTTATAGTTCACATGGATGAACCAGAGAGGAAATATTTTGTTAAATTATCTTAAATCTCAAGTACAGAGATGGGTTTTAAAATCAGTTTGTAAATATATGTGGAAATTTATTGCTAACAAAAATGGCAATTACTTTCTGGCCCTTATACCAAACCTATATCATATGTATCATATACATATACGACAATTTTAATTTTTAACAATACAATATCTTTTAATGAGTCCCAAATGAAAAAAAATAATTTTGCTTTATTGGGTATAGGGAACTTTAAATTAAAATATACTTTTCATGCCGGGCTCGGTGGCTCAGCCTGTAATCCCACGCCTTTGGGAGGCTGAGGTGAGTGGATTGCCTGAGCCCA